TGCAGGTTTTAGTGTTGTTCTCTCAGTCCCTGAGGGACTTGGGGGGAGAAGGTGGTGGGGAAAGGGTGTGGTGAGCAAACAACATCATGGAGAAGGGAACAACTGGGGAATTAAAATCAACAGGAGGACGTAGAGATCCTAGGGGTGTTGGAGCAACATCAATCTAGCTGAGAAGAATTACTAAGAGGCAGAAGTAGGGCAAGCATGATGGTGGGTCAGGAGGAAGGTAAAAGGAAACAAGAGGAACGATCTAGGAAGCAAATCTAATGGATAGAGGTATAAGCCTTGATGTACATATATAAATGTTAATTCATAAAAATAGAGGTATTGGCCTATGTACATATATTTAAATGGCAATACACTAAGGTAGTGGATGGATTTCAGGCCTCTGCTCATCCCCTCCCTTAATTATAAGAACACTTTGCTTTGTTCTGACAAACTGGCATTCTGCGATGCTCACCCTCCCAGTACAATCACTGAAGACAAAATGGGTGTATAAGCAAATGTGGTGAAAAAAGCAGATGGTGCCCAGCTATTAAAAGATAGAGCATCTGGGGTCTTAAAGGCTTGAAGTTAAACAAGTGGTCATCCAGCAGAGAAACAACAAGCCCACACGGAAGAAGCACACCAGCCTGTGCGATCATGAGGTGTCATTGGGACCGGGTAACAGGTATCAGAAGACCCACAACAAATAAAACCATATTGTTAAGAATGAGGCGGGTCAGAGCAGAGACCCAAAGCCCATATGTAGACAATGGGACATCAGGGAAGGGATGAGTCAACCAGCGCACGGTAAAGCACCCATGAAACACACAATATTCTTCTGGTTCCTTGAGGTTTCCTTACCCCTCACTATCATGACCCCAGTGCTGCCTCTCATTTTGGACTAGACCGGAGCCCGTGCACAGGTACACATAAGAGATAAGAGATCATGACACATGGAAGGCAGGAACAGGAATGGGAATAGCAATACCAGAAGGGTAGGGGAGGGTGGAGAAAGGAGAGGTGGACGGGGAACCAATTGCAATGATGGACACATACCACCACCACCTTCCAGGGGGACAAACAACAAAAACCGTGGGGGAAGAGAGACAGCGGTTGGTGTAAGATATGAAAATAATAATAATTTATAATTTATCAAGGGGTCATGAGGATGGGGTGGGGAGGGAGGGAAAAAAGAGGAGCTGATACCAAGGGCTCAATAGAAAGTAAATGTCTAGAAAAGAATGATGGCAGCATATATACAAATATGCTTGATACAATTGATGTATGGATTGTTATAAGGCTTGTAAGAGCCCCCAATAAAATGATATTTTAATTAGAAAAAAATTCAAGCCTTAGATGGTAATGTTAGATAAAATAATGAACCATGAAAGAAGCATCAAAAGAAAATGGTCACTACACCAAAAAATGTGGTTAACGTTCAATTACTCAATTATTTCAGGAGGGGGCATATGATCAAGAACCTCAGGTTCTGATGGAAGAAGTCCGTATTAGTGCTCATTCCTAAGAAAAGTGATCCAAGAGATGAGGAAACTATCAAAACATCACTAATAACACACACACGTAAAACTTTGCTGAAGATAAATCTAAAATGGTTGTAGCAATATGTCAACGGGGAACTGCCAGGAATTCAGGCAGACGATGGATACATTCCTGATGTCAGGATGGATCTTGACTAAAAACCAAGAATGCCAGAAAGATGTTTACTAATGTTTAGTTGGCCAACTAGACATTTCACTGTGTGGAGGATAAATTATAGAAAACCTTGCAAAGAATGTGAATCCCAGGGGACTTAATTGTGCTCATCAGGACTTGCACAGAGACTCAGAAACACTCAAACAGAACCTGGAGACACCGTGTCGTTTACAATCACGAAAGGCACACGTGAGGGTTTATTTAGGTTGCCATGTTTCATTCTGTACATCAAGCTAATAGTATGAGAAGTTGGAATCTGTGATGAACACACAGCAGGTTTGGTGGAAGACTTACTGACAACCTGCAATATGAAAATGACACAGGTTTACTTGCTGAAAGTAGGACTTAAAGAACTTAATGATGAAAATTAAAACTACCTACAGCCTTCAGTATGAATTACATCTCAATATAAAGAAAACTAGTATCTTCACAACCAGACCAGAAAGCAACATAACGGTAAAGGGAGAAAATATTCAAATAGTCAAAGATTTCATTGTTGGGAGGTCCACAGTCAACCTCTATGAGAGCAGCAATCAAGCATGATGAATCACACGGGGCAAATCTGTGGCAGAAGAGCTCTTTTACATATTAAGTGCCGAGTTCCCACTATGGAGGCTGCCCCAAGCCAATCACATCATACCAAACCCAAACCAAACTCACTGCCATCAAGTTGATTCCAACTCATATCCCCCCTACAGGGCAGAGTAGCACTGCCCCTGTGGGTTTCCAAGACTGGAACTCATATGGGAGTGGAAAGCCTCCTCCTTCTCCAGCAGAACTGCTGGCAGTTTCTAACCGCTGAACTTGTGCATAGCAGCCCAACACATACCCACTACACCATCGCAGGCTTGTAAAAGTCCTTTCAAAGGACACCAGGACCTAATCTACCTGCCTCTCTACTATTATTGATGCCTCTTCTTCCTATTACTCTCACTTACTGGGCTCCAGTGCCTTGACCTTCTTCTTGCGCCATGAACATACAAGGCCCCTCCCACCTCAGGCCTTTATCTTTGCTGCTGCCCGTTGCTGAAGCACTTATCTCTCTAGGTTTCGTGACTTGCTCATGTTTTGCTCAAATCGTTCTTTCTCAGTGAGTCCTTTCCTGATTGCTCTACTGTACCTTTTCCATACCTGGCTTTTCACCACTGATCAGTAATTTACCACATAATATAGCTCCCTTCACAAGAGAAAAAGTGAATGGGGGAAGAGATATTTGTTATGCCCACAGTGCCTAACATGTGGAAGATGTGCAAATATTAAATAAGTTTTTAAAGGAGCATAAAGAGCTCTAAAACCCTAAAATGAACGAGTAAATGATAGAAAACCTGACCAATAAATATGATCATATTTCACAGCCACTGGGGTAATGCTGTCTCATTAGTAACCCTACAGGACAGGGTAGAACTGTCCTGTGGGTTTCCAAGACTGTAACTGTTGAGATACAAATGGTTCTTCAGCATATGGAAAAATGCTCAACCTCACAGATAATTTGTAATTTAATGTTAAAAAGAGGTTATATATCTTTTTACCTCTTAATAAAATTACTTTAAAAATTAATTTTAGCAAAAATGCTAAAGTGTATTAACAAACTATGAATGAGGCTTTCGCCCAAGAGTTACACACAGAGGTTGCTGTATGTACATAAGGCACATAAGTATGACCCTCATCCCACCCTGTTCCATAAGTTTAAAACATAGCCTCTTTTTTTTTCAAATCATTTTATTATGGGCTCATACAACTCTTATCACAATCCATACATACATCAATTGTGTAAAGCACATTTGTACATTTCACTGCCCTCATCATTCTCAAAACATTTGCTCTCCACCTAAGCCCCTGGCATCATCAGCTCATTTTTTTCCCCTTCCTCCCCACGCCCCCCTCCCTCATGAACTCTTGATAATTTATAAATTATTATTTTGTCATATCTTGCCCTGTCCAATGTCTCCCTTCACCCACTTTTCTGTTGTCCGTCCCCCAGGGAGGAGGTTATATGCAGATCCTTGTAATCGGTTCCCCCTTTCCAACCCACTCTCCCTCTACCCTCCCAGTATCACCACTCACACCACTTACTGGTCCTGGATTCCCAAAACACAGCCTCTTTAAGAAGGCAATTGGCACCATGTAGCAAAAGTTTGATATTGGAAGTACAAGTTCACATATCCATGTCCCAGGAATCCTCTAGGACTTATCCTACAGACACATTTGCACACTTGGGCTATGACTACCATGGTTATGTACTATGTTTGCAATAGTCAGGACTGGAAACAACCTCATCAGCAGGGGACTTGTTAAGAAGTTGGGGTAGATACATGATTTGCATTATTTTCTGCCATAGAAAAGAACAAGGAAGCACTCTTTGTCTATTTATGGGAAGACCCGATATATGTGGGGTCTGAAAGAAATTCATGGAAAGATAATGGAGTATCTCCATAAGCTTTTTTGAAGCCCTGTTATATATTATTAAGTGAAATATGCAAATGGAAGAACAGTGTGAATAGTGTGCTTACTTTTGTATATAAAACTAAAGTAAGAATAAATTAGTATATTCATGTATCAACATACAGACACTCTGGGAAAAACAATACAAATGAGACTGATAAGTAGTTTCTTAGGATGAGAAATGGATGGTAGGTACATAGAAAACTGTATATATGAGACTACATGATATACTTTTCAGATTTTTGAACCCAGGCTGTATTACCTAGTCAAATAATTATACTAAAAAAAAAAAATCAGAAGACTGATCTACAAAGGAGGCAGGAGCTGCTCTGGGAAATAATGATGCAAATAGGTAGGAGGAATGAATAAATTACTTAAAACATTCATTTTTAAATAAATATGCTGCTGCAAAATCATCCATGTAACAGTAAAGCTAATTGCCTAAGGATCTTTTATAAGAATCATTCTATAGGTCTATTTTGAGTTCATCAAAGTATGTAAAAATAATTATCATTATGCCTGTTAGAAAATATTTTAGAAGTCATATTTTCCTACCAACTTCTCAGAATGGTCCATGCTCCAATTAGTTCAAATGTTGCTTGGCATATATGGTACATTTTGTGATACACAATCTCAGCATCTATTAATATTACAGTGTTGAGTGCTATAGGTATGAAGAATACATTAAATAGTATGATTTTTCTTCCCCTTCAACATAGCAAAGGAAATTTCAAACATCAACTTTCTTCAAATTACTTAGGCAAACACCCTCCCAGTGGGAGGGTGGCAGTGTGGGGAACCACACATATTATACTATTTCGGCCAGTTACAGGAGGCAGGTCATTGAAAATTAGTCTTACCTTACTTCAGCTGGTGGACTTGGGGAATAGGGATTGGCAGAACAAGCCAGAATTCTAATCACGGCTCCTGGATGATAGGTTTCCAGAACGTGCACAGCTGTAGGATACACCTGTTGTTCAAAAGTAAGTTCCACGTAGTCCTGGCTCTGAAAATTAGGAGGTGTCCTTTTGAATGGCAAGGAAGCACTAGGACACTGATCCCACCACGTTCCATACGTTCGAAACACAGCTGTCTGAGTAAAGTCACCAGAACTTGGGAAGACATTTGGTACCCCTGCCAGATTCCACATGGTGTAGGACATACTATTCTCACTTCCATAGTGAGAACTGAAATCTACTACTTCTTTGGCATACTGGACCAGCTCCGCATTGAGAGGGGAAGCCCGGCTGTTTGGGGCTAGAGTTCTATGGCTGTCCATCATTTCTCCTCGTGCAGCTGTCCTGGCTCGGCGCCGAAGGCATATATAATAAAACATAGTCAGAACTGTTAACATGGGGAAAACTGGTGGCATCTAGATGTGAACTATGAAGCTTCAAAAGGTCAGGTGTCCTCAGTAAGATGGATGATCTCTTTGAAGGATGTTCTAAAAAATGAATGGGTTGGTGAAGTGAAATAATTTAAGTAAGTAGAAAAAAATGCATGAATAAGGTAAATAATAGGTTTCCCCATGCCCCACCAATGGAATTTCCCAGAACAAAACTTTTGAAAAAATAAGTTTTTTTAGACCGAAAATATAAATCTCTGGTATAATCTATCTAACAATATTTCTAACAAACCTAAACACTGTATATGCACACAACCTTATGCTATATGAGAAACCTTATGGCTGCATGGCAAACAAAACTGGTACTTAAGGTAATGGAAGATGCATGATCCCAAACCTCTTCTCTACTCCATACAAAAGTATAACCAGCATTGAACGAATATTCAATGCTTGGGGCTTCTAAAATTAAAATTATTTTGAATATATGACCAATCACTAAAATGCAGCTGGAAATTCAAGAAGAGTCTTCAGTATTGCTGTGATTTCACATTTTAACAAATCGTTTTCTATTGTTAATTATTTCTCTCTCCTAAACATGCGAAGTCCAGATTTCATAATGTGGGAATATAGCTTTCTGGGGTTGACAGTTAATCCAGACCAACTAAATCAACTGCCTTACACATCACAGATCACCAGACAGTGTTTAATTTATAGCTCGTGGTGTTATTTGTTAGGGCAGTTCACGGCTGGCTAGCAATCTGGTCTGTTGCCAGCCCCTCTTAGAAATCACTCACCCCAGATAGAATGGTCACAAGATACACAGAGGAAATGCAAAAGTTGGCATTCATCCATGTGGCCTGAAATCTGCATGCTGATTCCAGGAACAGGTTCTGAAATGTGACATGTGCTTACCTGTAAAACAAGGGTTTCAGAATATATTTTTATTTCCAACTTGAGAAACACAACAAAAAGATTATTACAGGTTAAAAAAAACCAAAACAACCACATTTATTAAAAAGCAGTGTTCAATCTGAACAGGTCACATTTTTCTGAATCTTGTAGGCAACTGTGGATAATTAATACATTTTAAAATTTATGACAAAACACAATTACCATGTAGTAATTCTTTCTACATAAAGGTTGCACACCCATAGCTTATGCACCAAACTATGTTGACATTAAACAGTTCTGCAAAATTTAAATTAGTCTGAAACCTTTAGTAACCTAGAGGGACCTATGAGAAGAGCTTGCCTAAGCTCTCCAAGTAGCTGCCACTGTTTATAGGCAAGCCCACTAGTTTATAATACAAGCTTGGCTACTGTCCACACTGAAAAAAATGGCCTCTTGTCTAAACAACTGAGCAATCAAACACATCATATATACTCGAGTATAAGCCGATCTGAATATCAGCCAAAGCACCTAATTTTACCACAAAACTGCATTAAAAAATGTGCTGAAAAATCTTGGTTTATACATGAGTATATATGGTACTTTTTTTATATCTGTAAAATCTTGAGTTTAGTTTTTCAGTAAAAGAAGGTGAATGCATTAACTTCTATTTAACAGAGAAATATGTGATCATTCTAAAACTTTAGAATTAAGATTGTAAGACATCATTATACTAA